ACTCACTCACTCACTCACTCATCCATTGACCCGTCCATAACATACCCGACGCGCCGACTAAGAGGTATTTTTTTTACAAAAAAATAACTCAATAAATTTATCAAAAAAAGAGGGAGAGTGTGACAGTTTTGCGTGTGCGCTCCAGCCTGTACAGCAAACAGGTTTTCTACTGTACAAATAACTGTACAATATTACTGTTTATTTGTACTGTTATTTGGACGGTATTCGCTGCAGTTGGATAATAAAGATATATATATCTAAAATAGAGGCAAAAAATCACTCACATTTTGAGGGTCATGTGGCTTTGCAAAACGTAGAAATTCATGACAGAAGAATAATACACCAGATAAGAAGGATGATTGTAAACATTGAAGGAGATTGCCTCTAGCACTCAAACAATAAACATTGTAATCTACCTTCCCTGTACTCTTGTCAGCTGTCTTAAGATGTCTCTACAAGCTGTCAACAAGCAAAGTTTTTGAGAAGAACACAGGTCAGCCAGAGAACAGTGAAACAAACGGTAAAGATGCACAGTCTGAAGGTAGTAGCGGCACCAGCAGTGAACACTCTCCACCCTCGATGGTCGACATTGACTGCTATGCTGTCAACATGATAGAACTGTGTGTCCGAAGTAGGACACTTCTTGTGGCAGGCACCAGCCATGTTATAGTTTACCAGTTTAGCACTGTGGAAGAGACTTTAGAATTTGTGGTATGTTTTTTTACTGTATGCTTTATATCATATCATATTTATACCAAGCACAGTGATCTATCAGAGTAGTTTTGACAGTCTTAAGATGGCATTTACCTTAAATCCCTTAAATCTTGATAACTCAAGAAAATTTGCATCCAAATATCTGCTATTGTAACACTTGTATTTACTACATTGTGCATGTTCCAATTACATGCATGTAACTTTGTGATTCATATTTCTTTGTTTTGTTTTCAGCAACTAGACATCAGTCTTCTGTTCGACCTGGGTCTGGATTTGTCACCAGACTCTGAGGTTTCAAGCCCCACTGAGGATAAAGGAGAGGGACTGGTTCACAGTCCGACCTCAGTCTCCATGACTGTGTCATGTCCCACTCTGACTTGTAAAACTGGTGTGTACAAGAGGTCACCTGGATTTCAGCCCACGGTCTGTTGCATGATTCCAGCAGTAGGATCAGATACAGTGCCACTTAGTAATATGGCTGTCAGCTCAGAATTTGGAGTGTGAGTGAAAATATGTTCTCAGTGAAATGACTAACGTACTTTTATGCATGCATGGAGTGCAAATGACTACAACAGACATAAAGCTGTCTGTAAGCATTGCAGGCCTGTAATTGTGGGTAAAATAGAATTCTTGATCAATGACTATAAACTATCAAACTCAAATCTTCGCATTAATAAATTCACTTTGCCTTGAGAATGGTGTCACGATGATGCCAAAACATTGGCTCTTAACCTTAATATTCACTTGTTTATTTTTAAAAATAGAATTACAAATATAAGAAATGCAAATGTTTAGGGTATTTGCTATGAACACGTTCCTTGTTCTTCAATTGTCAAGAGTGTTCACTTCATTGGTTCATCTCAGTTTGAGTTTGTGAATTTGCTCCATATTTGTTCATGAAGATTTGCTTTAACATTTGGACAAATTGGTCACTCTACATTCTCTTGAGTCCTTTCCAGTCAATCAGATCTTTGTAGATTTGCTTGTCGCTGTAGGTGCCACAAACTCCAATCAAATTGTTACCCAATGTCAGCAGCAAACATCACACATAATTACTGGTATCGCCTGTTTTTTTGTACCTTTTGTAGGATTTCTATCAGCAATGGACCCTCTTTAGCACTGGTTGATATAGTTCAAAAGAAACTCATTACAGTGCTGTCAGCCCAAGATATGTCTGGTAAGGGTCACTTCATCAATGATTTATCTTTGACCTCTAAGAAACTGCCAATAATTAGCATTTAAATCTCTTTGATGATCGGGAATAGAAGTAATGTTCAGTTCTGCACTTGTGTAGGGCAAGTGAATTCTTTCCTCCCTTGTAAGTGGACAATTTTTGGGTAAACTTTGAGAAAGTTCAAATTACAGAAGCACTGTAAGAAAGCAAATTATTGTTTCAATTTTAAAATTTTTACTTATTAGGGCCTTAGCAGCTGGGGCCACGTGACAAAAATTTTTGCTAAAAAATTTTATATTATGGGATATAACTGGAATGAGCATAGCAAATAGCAAAATGGCCTAGTCTGAGGCCCCTGGAAGTGAATAGTAAGTTTATATGACAGTTTGAATTTTCGGAAAATTTAGTGGATTTCCATGGAAAATGTTGGAGAGTAAGGCCTTGCTCTCCCACAACTTTTTCCATACAATTCTTCTTTATTTAAAAATTCAGACTATCATAAAATCTCATTCTTTAATGCCCAGGGCCTCAAATTTGTCTATTTTCATTTCTCTATCTCTTGGTAGCTTTGAACTTATACATGTAGCTTATTATATTTGTAATTGATCGTTCGCAGCTGTTTCAGAATCGCCATCATCAGTATCAACTCCTGTCACAGCTGGCATGCCGATATCATTCACTATGAGTGCTGATGGAACAGGGGGGGAATTCCACATTGATATTAGTAGCTCAAAATCTGAGAAAAGAAAGAGCCGCCCCCCTAGGCCACCTCCCCCAGGGAGACGTCTTAGTGCTAGGCCTGCTAGTGAGATACAGATTGAGAGTGAAGCTGTCGATGGCATACGACCTAGAACTACCAGCGTACCCAATATGGACAGTGGCCCCCCTGACAGCATCAGCTGTGTGCGGTTTGCATGCACCTTCACTAAAAAGAATGGTAAGTTGTCTGCCTTGCTGAGGGGGAGGGGGACCTATATCGGACAAGGCAAAATTTAGTGAGACCCATTTTGCGGTCAGTTGCTACAGTGAGACTTTGGAGACACCTGATGGCAACTTATACCATGTACTACAGCTGTCTGGATTAAAGGGGCATTTTTGTGAGTGTGTTTAATCAAGGCACTAAGTTATAATTGTAGAAAACTCTTCCTGGTAGACCCTGTTAAGCTCATGGGTAGACAAAGAATATGGTTGTTTTAGCGCAGCTCTTTACGGAGAATAATGGCTTGTTTGAGAGAAGCTGTTGTGAGGGATTACTAGCCAAAAAATCAAGAAACCTGGCAACTGTTGTTAGTTGTGCAGAGAGCACGGTGAGATAATCAGTCGTCCTGAGTTGAAGTCCTGTTGGAACTTGAAATGATGTGTGATCGCAAAGTGAGATTGGGGCAGGTATAAAAAAAGTGTTGTTGACGTTGCTGAAGGAACTAAACTGTGGAGTTGCTGTTGTATTTTGCAGATAATTTAGTCAGTCCCTGTCTTTGGGTTGGAACAGCCCTCGGAAACGTGTTCGTTGTGGTGCTTAACTTGCCTGCCAGAGACCAGAGAGAGTCACAGCCTGTGCTGACTATAACCACAGGTAACCCAGTCATCTTACTTCCCTAGAGAACCACAAGTTTTGTTTCTTTTTCGATGGACCCTGTCTGTTCCTTCATGCCTGAGATACGTTTTGAGAAGGGTTACAGGAGTACAGAGGCTTTTAAACCAACAAACGGAGATGCCTCTGACATACACGTCCATTAGTTTTTTTCCAATTCTTGCAATGTTGTTTGCATGTGAGAATCGTGTTTACAAAGAATGTAAATATTTATCGCGTTCATGTTTTGCTCCCTCTCGTCAGTACTGCCGCTTCTTGTTGCTCGACATTTTGGCATGCCTGTTGTGTTTTCGACCACAGAAATATGCCATTTAACTGCAGCAGTGAAGCTACAAGAGTGGCTAAATCTAAGATAGCTGCGAATGTTTCATTGACTGATAGGTCAGATCTACTTCACATGACCCTTTCTGTTTTTTTCCCTCTTGAACCTGTCTCCCAAGCTCGTTCGCACGGTCTCTGGGTTGTGCAGACCACCTTTCGCGCCATTTTTCTCCGCAACCAGGTCATGAACAGCAGACAAAATCCGTCCCGCTATCGGCGCCAGCTCTGTTACCAGGCTCGTAGATGAAGAGACCTTCAGTGAGGTGTAGTTAATCAAGTTTTGTTTGTGTTTCAGGGACGTTATGTCAACCTAAAGCGGGAATGATTCTGAGGATGGCTATCATGGATTGTCAGGGGCATCTCTTTCCATCTCCGTTTCAGTTTTGGATAGAAAAAGATTCACATCATAATAAGAGTGAGTCAGACATCTTTGCTGCTTCTCGAGTAATTTTAGCCTGTTAGAATATGGATCGGAATCTCTGTGAAAACTTGTTCGTTTACCGGATTTAGACGTTAATTGTAATCTTTACGTTCTTCAGGGAACTCCTTACTGACGAGGGAGCTGCTAGAAAAGCACTTCGTTGTTATTTGTACAGAAAGAGAAGCCAAGGTGAGTGTATGTTTCTGCCTAAGTAAATCGAACATTCGGAAATCGAACTTTGATTGTCACGCAACTCTCCTCCCCAGTGGGCAGCACCGTTGTGTGACGACCGGAGGTTTCGTGTCACGAGGCGAGACGCGAGAAAGCTGTAAATTACTTTCGAGTAGTACTATAACAACTGTGCAGCTTTTGTGAGTTTCGTTCATTCAGTTCACGTTCAATTCGCAGGTGTACTCATTGCCCACAACTCACGTGAATCCCAAGAGTTTCTCGGAAGCTAACCTTGTTGATGATTCTGCCGTTGTACTCAAGGCCGATGCTGTTGTGGTTCAAGGTACGTTCCTAGGTTCAAACTGTTGATGAGTTTATTCATTCTCATCGTCAGTCTTCTCCAATGTGGTCTCAAATCGCAGGGGGAATTGAACAGTTATCAGGTCAGAGAATTAAGATTAGGACCCCTATTAAATTTTTGCCAGTGTTACATGTTAAGAAAAGTTCTTGGAAGATCCTTACTAGTAAATAAAACTTCATTGAACTATGCGTTTCTCGTTCCATACTCTTGTACGAAAAACCAAGTCGGTCATTAAAATTCAATCCCCAATATCGACCTCGTGCTGCTTCACAGAATGTTGATTTTTTTTTGTAGGGAGCAGCTGCCTGTTGTGTCTGAACAGTCTTGGTAAGCTGCTCGCGCTGAGTCTGCCGAACCTGTCACCGCTGTTAGACGTGGAATGTACGTTCCTCATGAAGGACTACAGGTTAGGACTACGGTTTAGTCTTTGAAAAATTTGGTTGTGCTTATTTTTGAAATCTTCTGATTACCTTTACACAGTGTTGTACCCGTCACAGCTTCCAGTTCTCCTGTTGTTCCCGCTATAATGACCAGCTTGCGTCACAGTTTTGAGTTGTTTCCCGTCTAAAACACGCGTGTAAAGGCTCGTGTGTAAAGAGTACACTCGTGTCAGTCACAGGAAGGCGGTACATTGCTAGTGTGAAAAGTCAGTTAATTTTATTGTCATTGCAGTAGAAAAATGAATATATAGAACTGAAGGTATGCGACAAATACAGTTACATATGATTGAAGACTTTGCTTCTTGGTTTTAGATTTCTCAGGACACTTGTATTTTCTGAGGATGCCCAAGCAGTAATTTTGTGTTCACCATTTGAAATCCAGAAGCTTTCAATGTTTGCCAGACCGGGGTAAGATGGAATTGTGAGTTTGCAACGTGTTAAGTGACCTTAACTAGACCTTTTTTCCCCTTCATGATTTAGCCTGCAAGCAGTGTCTATTTTCCTCAAAAATTCCTTTTTTTGCGTTCACTCGAGACGAGACTTCTAGACTGGATAGATTTATTGAAAAGCCACAGAGATTGTTTTAGGACCATTGGTTTCGAGGTAAAAATTGTAGGGAGGAGAGAGGGACAGGAACTTCTCACTTCCTATACTTTATCCTTCACGGTTTGCGACCCTTCCAGTCCTTTGTGGTTCCCTCCTCTTTGCGGTTTATGTCGTTCAAAACATCACGGAATATTGTCAGATGTTTCCTGTTTCTCTCTATCTTCTCTTCTGCTTTGTCCTGTAGACTTACCCTGCTCGTTACTCCCGGATTCCCCATGCTTCCCCNTCTTATATGTGCTATTTCAGTAAATCATTTTGTAATCATGATTTCAGGATGCTTACAGAAAACCAGGGTTCTCTATTCCGAGCTATGGAGACACCTGAACCCCCCAGCAAAGGTTTCTTTAGCAGCTTGTTCAGCTCAGCTGCCTCGCCGCTTGATAGAGAGCAGCTATGTAAGTACTAAACAAATAAACAAACAAAACGGTATGTATACGGCGCACAGTGAGTGGCCAGTGACGTTAGTTGAAACCTATGCTCGTCACGCAATCATTTCATCCTAGTTTTAGTACTGAACTTGCTTTTGGTAAAATTAGTTATCGCCTTTGTTATAAAGCCATAAACTTCGTGATTGAACGGTTGAAGAAAGTTTCCGCAATGTTTAGAACCTCGGTTCAATAACCGTTCTCCCTCCCACCCCTTCCTCCGTCGAAGGTCTCTTATGCAGTAAGCGCCTGTATTGGAATAAACGTGTACCTCGCTTGTGCTGCAAAAATTTCATAAGTAATCTGGGCGTAAAATCGAACGTTAACGGAGAAGATATCAAAAATCAGTTTCTGAGAGTCTTTGTTTTTGACTCATACCAGTTGGCACTGAAAGTGGGAATGCGTCTCGTAGCTTGACAAATCGGTTTAATGGTCCCGGAATGGAGAAGCTCCAAGAGACTTCCAGTGGATTAGCTGGTGTTTTAGCCAGGAACAGACAGGTGAGAGATATTAAGCGGTGTCATACCGCCGCGCCGGCCAGCTGACATCGAATTTCTAAAGAACACAAAAGTACAAGTGTCTAGCGCCGGACCTGTTAAAGGAGCTACGCCACGGTTGTCGCATCTTGAAAAGTTGAGCTTAAATTTTTCAAGGTCGTCTTTTGTAATCCGTGTTAATCCTCTTCATCCTTAACCCTCCTTGTTCTTTTATGATTTCTTATTATCTCTTTGGGGTTTTTTTGTCTTAGTAAACTATTATTTTCAGGTTTCCATAAGTTTAAAGGTAATTTTGTACGTGGTCAATATAACTCAAAATACCGTGACTGAGCTCCTTCAACCGGCGCCGGTTTGGAAAAACCTGCCCTGCCCCATACACGTCAACAATTTACTTTGCGCGCGCAAGTCGAAAAATTCAGCAAGAAATGTTCTCGAGTTTCCAACAAAGTCAAACTCGACGAAGTTGGACCGCACGGAAGTATTGTCTATGCATGTAATATTCCCCTTACATAGTTATCCGTCTAAGTTGTTTTCCTAAGGGCCGATTTCGGCATTCTACTTTTGTAGAGCGCGTTCCCCTTGTCATGCAGAATTCACCATTGAACACTGCCGATTTGAGGCTACAAGTGTCTTAGGGTTTTAAAATGTGTTAATTCTATATGTCGTCATAGTGTAGCAACTGTTATTGTTTGGGACTAGAGGTATTGTTTCTGTTTGTCTTATTGTTCACTCGAAGTTTCGTGTCGTGCACGGCAATCGCAAACTTGTTGCTGTTTTATCGTAGGCTTTTCGAATGATCGAAGGGTTATCGTTTATAGCTTGTTGTATGTAACAGAGTTCTATGGTCTAAATTTTTGACTTTTTATGAAACCTTATACACTCTAGGCTCTTACAGAGAGAGGCGAGAAGCTGTCGGAGCTTGAAATGAAGACTGGAGAGATGAATATGCGAGCCAAGGCCTTCGCGGACGCCGCCCATCAAATGTCACTCAAATACAAGGATAAGAAGTGGTATCAAGTCTGAGGCTCGTGTCACGTGCTCACGCGGAGTTGGCAAGCTTTGGTTCTACTTCCAAGTCTGTGGCTAACATATCAGCCCGGTTCGTCTGTATCGCCCGATGACAATATCTCTGTAGATGTAAGGAGTTCTTTGTGGCGTACAAGAAGAGGGCCGTTAAATAGAAATTATAAATGCAGCAATCGTTTGCCAGCTCATTAGACTGAACTGCAGTAATCTCTTGTTTCACCGAGAGGACTGAAATTTAGCTCATGAAATATTTAAAGAAATTAGTAAACCCTGTATTTTCTGGTGTTAATAGACATTAATGGGAACAGAGTAACATTGCTGTTTAATAACATTTCTGTTGAATACAAGTCATATATTGTAAAAATATGTTCAAATAGAATTCCAGATATAGACAATTCGTGATGTTCATCATGAATTAGTGAGTACAATGTTTCTACCATTAAAATGGATGACGTGTTGTTTTGAAGTTATTTCTCTTGGTTGGTATTCCAGAGCTGTTTGTTAGTTACTAGTCTCCTTGGCAGCCGCGGGCCGAAGTCATGCACACGGGCAGCGTTGCGTTACTTTGGTAGTACTAAAGTACAACTCCACTCTGTAGAATACAAGAACAACAACAACTACAGCAATAAAAAGAAAAAAAC